AACATGGCCGCCAAAGTTTGATGACTTCCATAGCTTGATAGTCATTGGAAACTGAAAATTCCCAATTTTGGTGCCTTTAATCAACGTTTTTCCGTAAAATTCAAACAAAAATGTGTTGTTCTCTTTTGTTTTTCGTTTGGTACATGTTTTACGGAGCTTACAACTGCATAACGTCATGTGAGCACATGAAACATTTTTAGTTGGTACGAAATTTTGAATTTTGCCCAGGTGACGGCCGAAGCCTACTCTTATATCGATTTTGGACAACCAAGGAATCTTGAACGTGCACAACTTGCACATGGAACCTCCGAGATTTTTCACCCTTGTCTGAGAAGGCTGGGCGTAGATCTTACCTATCATAGGATCAGGGGTGTGGCTGAAAGACAGCAGTAAGACTAAGAAGGAGTCAAGGAGAAGCAGTAGAAAGGCTGCAGAAAGAGTCAGGAGCCTAGAGGAGGGGGCAAAGGAGGTGAGGGGGGGCGCAAAAAGTGGAGACGAAAGCTATCCAGATTCGAACCTGGGACCTATTGAATGAGAGGTGAACACCTTAACCTCTCGACCACGAGATCCCCCACAAATGTGTTTTTAAATGGAAATAACAGGTGTTGAGCCAAAAACAAATATTCTATAAAAATTGCTTAACTGGCCGACAAATGCTGGTTTCTAATATTTCATTATTATAACGGGCACCGCGTTTCACCACAATGCATCACGTATATCACAATGTTATGTCATCACCACCCTTACAAGTTTAAGCTTTATATCAAAATGACAAAATGAAACCTCCGTAACCATTGAGAGCAGACTTTTTAAAAACTGTTGGCATTCCAAAAATTTTGGCTTGCACAAAATTAAAGAATTCATCAAACTTTTGCATACTCTTTATGGCAGTATGGTTAAGCAATAGGTACCGCAAACTGGCCGTGCGCCCCCGTGGCATATGGTCACGGAGACCAAAACCCATATTTTTACCCTCCTAAAACACTGTGTGATCATGCATACACGCAGACACTTGATATATCAGAAGAAAGAGAAGCTTTTTCCTCTTTTTAATGGTATTATTTATTTGAATCAACAAGTCTTTTGAAAGCAAAATCTTGTGGGATAAAAGACAACACCATCGAGGTCTTCAAAGCATCAATTTTTGGCGTGACCTCGTTTGAACAGAAACGGGGAGCGTATGGTATTATATACTGCAATCTGATTCGTCGATATTTCAAGATGAGAAAACGCTCTTTCCGGTAATATATTTCTAAAGACTGTCTTAAAGAATAAATAGAAGAGATCTGCGAGTGAAAATTTCAATGCTGTTTTTTTTTTTTCTGGAACCAGTGATGTGACAGATTATGGAAATATATCGACAGAAAGCCTTTTCATTCCTCTTCAAGAATAATACAGCCATTATACGAAAATAAGTACCGGAAACTGCCCCATCAGCTCACAAGCAGGGCCACCATCGGCCCAGTTTCGTAAAAATTCTTTCTCCTTTCTGTCAGCGCAGCCCCGTGCGCAGCTGATAACCCGGTGGTCGTGAGTGGTTGTTTGCAACCTCCCCTGGTATTTTTTGTCATTTTGATCAAAAAGCCATATTTATGTCAATAAATTTCCATATTCTGGTTATATGTTACCCCTGAAAAATATTGGGCTTGTTATTTATGTGCATGGGTGTATGTTACCAAGTTTTTGTGAATGTCCATTCAAATTTAAGAATGTTATTTATGACATCTCAAAATGCAGACATTTCACAATTTAAAAAATATAGAATTTTTCTGCAACTTCAGATTTCATAACTTTGTTTAAAATGAAGCTATAATGTATAAATGTGGTATCAAAAAGCTCAACAAAAAAATTCTATAAGGTGGGGCAGTTAACTATGAAATCAGAGGACTTTGAAATTTCAGTCTGTGGTACCTATAAAAGCAATAGCACTGGTCCACAATACAAATCTTTTCAAATTGCATACAATAATCAACAACAAACAAACGTATAGTCAAGATTAAAATTACTTGAATTAACATGGAAAAGATAGAGAATACTCTGGTTTTTGAAAATGCTAAGCAACAAGCCTTGAAGTACAAGAAAACATGAAAAACCACAACAGGCAAACGTGCATAGTTCAATACCTTTCACAAAACTTGAGGTGAATAAATAAACTCTATAACATGGCAGCATCAGAAAATAGAAGCACCTCACTTTGATTTCACAAAAGCAAAAAGCAATTGTAAATATTTAACACATTTTGCACAAAAATTCATAAAACCATGAAATTATGGTGGACTTTGCATAAGTCAGTGCCAACAGGACATACAGAGCACAGAACATCAACTCACTATCACATCAAGAGGTACAGTTTCCAACATCTTCCTAATCTATTAATACCCAGTTGATCACCTCCTGCATTTCCTATTGTTTAACATTTGGATATGGGGGGGGGCTGCTTTTATGCTGTTGTTTTCTTGTTTCGTTTTTATTACTATTTTTAAAATAATATTTTGATTTTTCATTCCTTTACGTGCTTTCTGCGTTTGTTTTTGATAAGTGGAGCGTGAGGGTAAAAAGGGGATTTTAATTGCGTCGTTCTTTCTTTTATTTTATAATAATATATTTCCTGGCCATCTTATTTTGGCTCCAGAATGACCGAATCGTTTATTAGACAAACACGCAAGAGAGTTGAGATAGATGTAATTACATATCGTTAATTACGTATAGCCTAAGCAGGATGTGTATAATGTTAATAAAGGTTCAAATCACTGTTGAGGCATGCTGATCCGGCTGCAGAAAAAGTGGAATATGTCAAAACCTAAAAGTAGGAGGGGTGTCCGGAAAGTATACTTAAATGGTCACTGAATGATCATGTCCACCTGAGCCATCTCGAGCTGATACAGTTCCACAGCACACGCAGAATGGTCGATAGGGGCTCTCGTGACCTAGAGGTTAAGGTGTTGGTCTCTCATTCAAAGATTCCGGGTTCGAATCCGGGTAGGGACCGAAAATATTTCTTCTCTAAAATTGTTTCCTTTTATCTCCTTTCCTGCTCTCTAGCAATATTCTGTCGTCTGCTTTCGTCTCCTCTTTCTGCCCCCACCC